ATTCTTTACTTGCTTCTTTTTGAATCTTATGCAAGTTTATTAGTGTCGTTACTTCTTTATCGACCAATTTTCTTTCATTTTTATAACTTGCTTTTAAAGATTCCAAGCCAAATTGATATTATCGTCATTTAGTGCGAACGGTTTTACTATTACGCCTGCTTGACCTTTTGTTTTGTATCGGATTTTGTGCATTTGATAATTTAGGATGGTTTATGTAAACGGCTGTAAACATGTCACGGAAGGACGGCCATTCTTCATAACCTCGAGGTGGATGCCTGAACTTGCCTCTTGATTTTGTATTTGTGGCGGCTCTACTCTCGGATGTGGAGTAGGTGCAATTGCTTTAATTAGTTTCAGTTGATCAGAAATCATTGCTTGAGTTTCCTCAAACTGTAAGAAGAGGATTTGAAACTTTCCGGTAGATCTGAGCCGTCAGATTCTACGATTGCGTCATACGCAGCTTGGAGACGTGTCCGAACATTGTCAAGACTGTCGTTTTTGATTTCTAATACTGATTCCGAATTGTCTTGAATCGGCGAAGATGAAAATCGAGTGCAGTATCGCGTAAGACTGTCACTCTCAGCAATAAATTTAGTGTATGAAATGTCTTTACCCCTCTTTTGCTTTGTAGCACCTTGCTTTGAGCGTGTAGTTTCTACAGGTGTACATGGAATTTTATCATCTGAGATCATCTTTGGTACTTTTATCAACTGAGATATTTTTGATTCTTTTGAGTCTGAGCTCATTTAAAAAGGTTTGTCGAAATAAATTATAATATTTTCAATGTACGAAATATATGTATTTGAAAATTCCCTTTAAGAAAAGAAGATTTTGTGTTTTGTGAATAAAATTAGTAAATCAATGACTTTCTTAATCTTCGCATAGACTCGTATGAGTAACTGAACTCTTTTAAGATAATAAGAGTTTTTAATTTGATTAAGTTGGAAAATTTCGCGAATTTAGTTTTATATGAGTACCGTTTCGTATTACTTGCGATTTTTTTTTAATATTTTCCGCTTGTTTGTAATTTAGTTACTAATCCGCACTTTTTATTTATTAATATTTTTTATGTCTTATGTAGGCGTATATGGGTACACCCTAATTCGTGAACTTGTAGGTATGTATTTATGTTCTTGTGGAGAGCTCGTTGAAGAGATCAATGCACTTCGTACCTATGTATGCACGAATTGTTTGTACTTTGGTGTGTGTAAGCAACCCTGTTTGTTTTTGTAAGGGGTATTACGAATATATGCAATGTGGACTTTGAAAGTATAATAAACGCACTCCTACTTGTTCTTGTTTTCCAAAGGACCAGGAGTATTGCGGGATGTATGCCAATATGGACTTTGAATATAAAATGTACAAACGTATCTTGTATATGAACCAATATGTATGTATGTATATGATTCACAAAATTATTATAATATTTAATTTATTATTTTTAACTTTTGTTATTAATAATCCGTATATTATTTACCGCATTTGACGATCAATTTTTAGATTTTTTTATTTTTATTTAATTTTAAATGGAACCCTATGTAGGGTATTAAGCGATAGGCAGATTTTCTGCTTTATGTATTCCCAAATGTCCGTATATATCTATATATATACCGATATTTTACCGTATGCACTTATGTATATATGTATCAATTTATAATATTGTACAAGTATATTAAATAAAAAATGAATTTATGTATGTATATACAAATATTGCTCTTGACAATTATATAAAATATATTTTCAAATATATATGTGGTTGTTGTTAGATTAAGTATATTTATATGTAAAAAACAATGTTTATATGCATAAATAAAAATAAATTAATATGCATATATGTATGTACATAGGTAAATTTATGGTTTTGACGCAATCCTGCTTGTTGCTTTGTTAAGCATAAGTGGTATTGCCGAAAAAGTATGCAAGTAAATACTTGAAATATATTGGTATGTTGTTGGAAACGTAATGTGTGTTTTGAATACACAAACGTAAGCATATAAGGCAATCACTTTATGGAATATGTTTTTTTCGATATACGTATATACATCTATTTATATGCATATAGATGTGGAGATATATATATGTATATCTATAATATAAAGTTTGGTTGCCTTGTAATCCAGCTGTTGGTTTATGTGTGTGTATGTATTTTGTATCGCGCCCGCTTATTGGATTAATGTTTTGTATTAAGATTCGAGCCCGTACTGTGATTTTATTGTTATCACTGTGGGTAATATTTTTTGAAATTTGTCAAATATTTTAGCATTATTCGCCTTTGGTTCTATGTGTATGTGTGTATATGCATTATACTTCACTTATTTTATGCACTTATATTATATGTTAATGTATGTATAATTTTCCAGCACTTTGTTGGTTTTCTTTTATAGAACATTTAGAATAATGTTATATAGTATGTATTTATATATATTTTGTTTTTTTGTTTCTCGTAACGAGAATTCAGTTACGTTACTGTAATTTTGTTGTTTTAGGGGTAACTGCACTGTATTTATTATTATTTTTTTCCGTTGTTTGGGTTTTAACTGATTTTTGGCAATGTGTGTTTCACAGCATTTCATTTTAGTGTTTTTTTTTGTCTTTTTTTGTTTTTTAAACACCTATAGTGCCGGCTCGAAGGACCATATATAATTTGGTGCTAATTTGTACAAAACTACTATTTAATTTGGTCCCAATTTGAACAAATAACTTACCAACTTCAATTAAACTCTTGCTCCCGAATAAAAGTATAAAAAATAATGACGAAAAGGGTTTCCAAATTCGCAATTTTAATATCTTTAACAAAATCGTTTTATACAATTAAATGTAAGTTGAATTAATAAAATTATTAAAACAAAAATGATGTAGGTTACCGGGGTTGATTCGCTGAATCACTTTCGACGGCGATCGGTCGAAAAAAGAGGTCGTGTCCAGTCGTCGATCTTTTTTGTTGATTGGACAGATAGAGTGGTAAGATCGTGTGTGGTGTGTACCATCCCTCGGAGGATTGTGTTGAGTTGTATGTGTTGGCGTGTGGTGTTTTCGGGAGTGGATAGTATGTTGTGGTGTGTTGGATTGTGTCAGTGTTGCTTGTGGAGTGGTGTGTGGTGCTTGTAGAGGGACGTTCAATGGGAAGGCTTATAGCTCATTTAGCCAAACCTGTTAAGGAGCGGGACCACGCCAATTTTTTAAAAAAATTTGGGGAAACAGGAGCCCCTTGCTTCTGCGTTAACCTGTGCTAATTTACATTTTCATATTATAATTAAATGCTTTGTTATGATATTTTATATGTTTTCGATCAATGGCATTTTTCCAAGGAACACGTGTGCCAAGTTTCATTAAAATATCTTAATTTTTACTGAAATTATCGCTTGCACAGGCTCATCATCCTGATCTTATATACACTAGGTAGAAAAAGTCTCCACTCACTAATCCGTGGAATGTGTTTCAAAAAAAATATTAATAAAATATATGCGTTTGTGTAAATAATACAGATTTAGATAATCGAAGATAAAATCTGTACAATACTACATTCACCTCCTCAATCACCTGACCTCCAGCAAAGAAATGCTCAAGACCGTTATATTGGACGAATGGAGTAAAATGTCAGCCCATGATACTAGAAAATTAGTACATTCCATGCCTAATCGTCTAGCAGAAGCTCTAAAATTTCGAAGCTACCCCACCAGCTATTAAATTTTTTATAATTACTTGAGATTATTGTGTTCTGGTTGGTGAGCGGAGACATGTTCTGTTTAAGCTAATTGTTTTCAAAATGGAAATGAACTCTTTGGCTTTTGTTTATTGAATAATTTGAAAAAAAGTAAATTTTTTTACGCGAAAAGATATGATTTAATGACACAAAAAAAATTTCTTAATTGGTCAATTGGTCAAACTTTTATTTTAGTTAAAAATATTTTGTACCCAGTGAGCGGAGACTTTTTCTACCTGGTGTACGTATATATATGACACTACAAGTATATCTAACTCCATTATTTATAGGTGATACAAACAACCGTTAGGTGAACAAAACAAGTATACTCTGTACCAAAGTGTTGCAAAAGTATAAAAATGTTGTGAGAAAATTCAATATTCATGGTTTAACAAAATCTGAATGGATTACAATTATTCGCATGAACTAAAATTATAATAAAATAATTTTCAAATGTGATATATTTTATGTATGTGACATAAACTCAACCAAAAGACTAAATTCAATATATTGAGGTGATGTGGAAAACGTCAATCAAAGCATGGGAATTAATTATATTAGGGATACACAAGCATTTTTTTGCCAGTTGTCTTTAAAGAAAATTAACCTCCAAATTCGGATCGCTATTCACCACGACAATACGAGCTTTCACACATCGACTGAAACAACTACATTTTTGAGCACTCGAAACATAGAGTAGATGAGTCATCCACATATGTATAGTCCTGATTTGGCACCGAATGACGTCTTTTTATTTCCTTACGTAAAAAAATAATTAAGAGGTCAACGATTTGCAACACCTGAAGAGGCGATTGATGCGTTCAGGACGCATGTTTTGAAATACCTCAATCAGAGTGGCAAAAGTGCTTCAAAGATTGGTTTAAACTTGTATATTATTTTGTAATATTTTGAAAAACAATAAAGCGATTTTCGATAAAAATAGTTTACTAAATCTACTCTAAGCTTACACACAATATCCGCTGACGCATAAGTTCAGTATCTCGGCCACAATGGTCCGCAGCAGTAACCTGACACTTGCTTATGTCGCGAGCGACTGTGCTATCGCTTATGATGAGTCGGCATAACGCAACTTTGTAGTTCAACGTGCTCAGCTTTAGGTTAAGCAGTTAGTCAATTTGTATTCCCAGTTCAGCTTGTATTTTGAAGTTAAAGTGTAACAATAAAATACTAGTTTCGGCACTAGCCGAATCACCTCTATTATTGTGACCTGTTGCTGCTCGTCGTTTTAATTGGAATCCGTTGCTATTCATCAGCTTAATTAAAACAACCAAGAATATAACTTAGTACAAAGACAGTTAATTTTTTTTTCTTTCTCAAATATCCATAAAATCAATATCTCAACTTTCTAGAAATAGTTAATAGGTGAGGGCATCAAAAAGACGCCGAAATGAAGAATCTTCATCAGAAACTGAAAATCGTCTTACACTTCAGAGAGAATGCAATTCGCAATCGCGTGCCAGAGAGTCGAGTATCGAGCGATCGCAGCGGCTTTCTGAACAAGATTATATATACAATATACCACCTCTCACTAGGAAATCGAGCTCTGAGTGTTCCCAACGCCTTCGCAACTAGACCAAGATACAGCTGAAGTCAATGACTAGAGTTCGTAATCGAGTTTTAGCTCATGGTAACAGATCGGCTCTCAGATACGACCCACAGATTAATTAAGCCCAAAAGTTTTCTGTCCAAATCGAAGCCATCAATAAGATCTGCTCAAAGAGTTCTGCAAAAAAACGTGCCGATGAACCTAATGGTATGTGCAGTGCTTTGGGAAAAGTTAGTCTCCCGAATATGCAGGAGCTGTAACAGACAATAAAAGATCTTTTAACAAATAATCATGTACTATTTGTACAATTTTGAAACAACATATGTACCTACGTATATATAGCTTTTTTCAAATGACAGTCGCTTGGCGAGTAAGAAATAAGAGAAGACAATTTTTTGTAGAGACTTGTCCCTCATCATCTTATGGGTATCCTTTTACCACCATCAAGTCAAAGTCATTTGGACCAACCTAAACGGTTTGAAGTCATTGGGAAAGCCTAAAATCATTATATAGGAAATATTGCATTAATTTTTGACATTGTTCAGGTGTACTTGATAACTTATTTTGAAGAAATTTTTTAGATATATATGTACTTGAAGTAAAGTTAGCCGGATGCTTGAAACACCTAAATATCAGTTACATGGGGACTGTGGCAAGTTTTCGCCCGATTCCAAAGATACACTGTTATTAGAAAGATACGCTCTCTTAATTTCATTGAAATAACTAGTACATTGGCCAATATACATATGTTATGTGGTATAAAGTCAATTGGAAATTCCAAAATCTTTAAAATAGGTACATGGGGGCTAAGGGACGCGCTTCAACAAATTTTTGGTGCAAGTAAATATTGATTTAAAAAAACATTTTTCAGTTTCAATCATATATCTCGAGTTGGCATATCTCTTACCTATTTGTGCACAGTTTTGTCCCGATATAGTATTTGGTGCTTGATTTATATTCTGGAAAGTGTAAGAATCATTTGGAATTTAAAATTATGCCATATGAGAAGTAGGAGTGGTTGTAGTCCGATTTCGCCCATTTTCGCATTGTAAAATATAATCGGCAGCATAATGTTATGTTTTACATTGATGAAGTAGGTTCGGAGATATGCGATTTTTCCAAAATATTTAATGTCTTTGATGTATTTACTTGTAGTTACTGATTTATTTCGCTTTTGGTAGTTTTTAACAAAACCGTTAAATGGGGACAGGGTGGGGTTATCACCCGATTTTATCCATTTTCACATTGCTAAAAAGATTTGTCCTGAGTGAATTGAATTACTAAAGCTTTAGTTGTAAAGGAGATATGCACATTAAACCTATTAGAGGTAGGGGCCACGACCAATATCAACCTTCTTACGATTTGAAGGAATATGTGTACCGAGTTTCATCTAGATATCTCAATAACTACTCAAGTTACAGCTTGCATAGACGGACGGACCGATAGTCACCCAGATTTCAAATCGTCTCTTCATCTTGATCATTTATATATGTATATATAACCCTATATCCAATTAGTTTTCTGTGATACAAACAAAAATAGTTTTGTTTTATGAAGTTTCTTACCCGATTTTGTATGATTTTGCCACGTTGATTCCAAATCTGTAATCAGCTTTTCTTTAGCAACTGTAGTTTTCGAAATATGAACATGTAAGATTTTTAGCCAAAAATACTATAATTTTATAATTAAAAAATATATTGCTCTTACTTAACATAAAAAAAACTTTCTTTTAGGTGCTTTTCTTGCATGAGTAGAAACAGTAGTTTTGTTTTGAATGCTCCAGAATCCAGAAATCAGCCATCATATTTGCTTTCCAACGACCCTGGTCTCGCTCTTCCATAGTACGTATATCCTAAGAAAGCGTTCTTCTTGTTCTTCGTTTAAGTTGCTTAAATTTCCTAAGAAGCAGTCTAAATGGCTGAAGTGGAAGTGCATCTTGATTCTCATGTTACATACTGGACTCTGGAAGTGCAACATGAGCTGCTCATATGTTGAATGAAGTCTGGAGACTTTTTATTTCCTAAGTAATTTTGCACAACCCAAATAAATTCAATCCATGCAGATTTATCCTTATCTGTCACACAATCAGTAAAATATTTGAGGAACGTCATAAATAGCCGTTTTAATTTTTCTGTGCTCAATTATGGAAATATTTTACTAATATTTAAACTAACTTTATAAAAAAAGGGGGTAATCTGCTACTAGAGAGGTATTCATCACATTTATACTACTCGGTACTTAATGCACTCCCAAAGGCCTTTTTTAGTTCTGTGTTCTGTCGTGACTCGGACATCCCATAAACACATGAAACAGGGGTATTTGGTATATCCTCCTTTTTGACCCAAAAGAGAGTTTACCATTTTAAGATCGACGCATATCAGACAGTTATGTTTAATTTATTTTATATTCTCCATTACAAATGGGCCCTCTTTATAGAATCAGACGCATTTAAACGGCATTCTCTAAACATATAGTCACCACAAACAGGAAAAAAATGTTTCGAATAATTTAAACAATTTCTTCTTAATGTAGACATAGCGGTTTACTTATGAAATTTAGTAATTTTTTTGCCCTAAAAATTAATTTAAGTAAGCCGAGCAACGATATTTCAAGAAGTACCTGTATCACTAAAACTAGAACTGCTAGAAAGAAACTGAGGTAGAAATCAGCGACGTCAAATCAGTTAGAAACTCTATAAAACAAAAAAGTGTAATTTTGTATATCAGTGTTATACTATGTAAAAACATGTTGTAAGAGTATAAAAATGTAAGCAACGATCTCTAAATATGTGAACGCAAATGCTGCATATATGCAATAATATGAATTTTTTTGTTATTTAAGGTTATTATACTCTTGCAACATGTTGCTCCAGAGTGAAGTTTTATCAACGATATCTAAACCGGAGAAGACGGATATTCAGTTTATCGTCGACGTGACACTGAAAACCGAGGACAGAGTGCTATACTAAATATAATAAAGTAGGTTCAAGTTAGATAATAGATGGATTGTCCCTTATTCTCCACTGTTATGTAGGAAATTTAACGCTCACATAAATGTAGAGTACTGTCTCATAGCCATCAAATACTAGTACATTTGCAAATATATCAACAAATGATCTGTCCAAACTACTTTCAGCGTCAGAAATCCAAATTAAAAGGGTAAAACTTTGTAAATGGCCGGTACATACATAAACACATTTAAGTTTGCCTGGCGAATATTCCGATCCAGGAGCGCATCCTACAATCCTGCAGTTAGCTGTTCACTTAGAAAAAAAGCCAAAGGATGTATTTCACTACAGAAGCGGCTGAACGAGTGGCCCAAAACCCACGTAAAACTGCTTTGATGGATTACTTTGAGCTCCGTAACGAAGATGAATGCGAATGCACAGACACTTCCATATCTCGAAATGACGCATGGAACAACAATACATTTACAAGAAGGTGGCATGGTGAGAACATAGTTGGCCATCCGGAGATAGAAACAGATGTCGCTTAAGGAAGAGTGTACGGAGTACATCCTTTTCAATCAGAGTGTTTTTATCTTAGGATATTGTTACATGACATATGCGGTCTAACCTCGTTCGAGTACTTAAAAACCGTTGTCGGAGTTCTCAAAGCATCACTTTTGCAACGGCCAGTACAAGTGAGGGATTATTTGTGGTTATACTTTTATTTTATAAGCCATCGAAACCATTAAAATTATAGGACAATTTCAAAAACGAATTATGTAATATGTGTTAAGATATTAGACATAAGCTACGACAACAAAATCAAGTCTTCGCCTTTCCGTACAGTGACGACATGTAATGGGTATTCCAATAGGGATGATATGATATCTAAGTGTCGTTTCGGCCATTTCTAATGTCATAATCATTAGTGCACAAATTATAAACAACTTTTTATGGACGCACTTGGGAGAAATTTATCTCGACAACATTTGGTTCCAACAAGACGAGGCTACGTGCCACACAGCACGTTCAACAACCGAATTATTGCGAGTAAAGTTTGGAGATTCGATAATTTCAAGAAATTGTGATATTGAATTGCCTATAAGAAGTTGTGCTTTAACACCATTGGATTACTTCTTGTTGGATTATTTGAAATCAGTGGTCGTTAGCAATAAGCCAGATTCTCGCCAAGCTTTAGAAGTCAATATTGAACGTGCTATTCATGGCATGCGGCTTGATTTAGTGGAAAAAGTACTCGAAAATTGGGTTCATCGAATTCGTTCCTGCAAAATTCCTTGTCTCTTAATATTAATTATGTGGGATGAATGTAACATGGGTCATAGAGTACATATAGAGGCCATGGACAGAACCTTAAAAGATCTTAGAAGCTCATCTGCTCTCATGGGCAGGATTATTTTTGTATTTGCCGGAAATTTGCGACAGACTCTTGTTGTCATTAACAGAGGATGTGTCATCAAAGCATGCTTAAAGTGGTCGCCGTAATGGACTTCGAATGAAAATATAAAACTCAAGACGAATATGAAAGCCTCTTTTTCATGGAAGCACATATAGTGATTTTTCACAGCAACTGCTTAAACTTGGAGAAAGAATTTGCCCACTCTATTTAAGTAAAACTGTAACATTCTTCTGGAATGAGTCTCTATACCAAATAGTTTATAGAATTTTTAATGCATGCAGTATACACTGACATAGAGAATTTAAAATTGTGTTATGTGGGAAGTAGACGCGTTTGTGTTCCGATTTTCCATATTTTCACAAGGTAACATCCGAATGCCAAAGTAATCTTGTACACGAAATTTGGTTAAATTTCCTGAGATAAAGGATTTCACTTTAAGTTTGGCGGAGGCATGGCAATTGTCGAATTTAATACTGGCTTCAATAAAGCTTTTCCGTACCATCTCGGTTGTGGAGTTCAATGGATCTAACATATTTGACTTATGAGTTATCTCACTCTCAGTAGTTTTCACCATACCTGTTATATGGAGAGTGGTCGAGGTTACTTTTCAAATATTTTTTGCCCATAGATACCTCATACCACTGCGATCCCCTACAACAAATTTCAATTTTGTATCTTAATTTGAAGCTTACTTATGCCTCTTTATAGGTTTTCATCATCATCTACAATACTATTCTTTCCATATTTCCAAGAAACACATGTACATAGTTTAATCTCGATGTTTCAATTCTTAATTAAGTTATCGTAGGCGGACGGACAAACAATCACCCGGATTTCAAATCGTCTCATCACCCTATACCTATCTCAGTTAGTTTTTGGTGGGGCAAACAATCGTTAGATGAACAAAATTATTGTATCCTGTATCAACATATTGTGTTTGTGTTTATACATCTACGGTATTTGTTTGTCGAGTTATCGTACTTTAAGTAGTTTTCAACAAAATCGTTATATGAGTAGTGGCCGCGGTTCTGATCTGTTCCCAAAGATGCCCCTCTCTGCTATAATTCCCTGTACGAAATTAAAGCTTTGTGTCTTAGTTTAGAGCTTTGTTATATCTTTAATTAGCGGCATTTTGGGGGCGTGACCATAAACCGAGTCCGATCAACTGCAAGACCGACAGACAGTCACTAGAATAGAATTCGCCTCGTGGTCCTGATGACTTATATATATATATATATATATATATATATATATAACTTTATATCTAGGTTAGGTGAACAAAACTATTATACTCTGTTGTAATATTATATGTTGCGAAAGTACTAAAATGTTGCGTAAAAATTCAACAATCACTGTTCGATGAAACCGTGAATGCATTAAATTCATACTTGGATTCTTATTAAGTGACTCTGTAGGCCATAGCCTTACATACGTAGTTTCATTACTACATATATTTCGCTTTGTGTCAGAGATATTTACCTTTAAATCTACCTACTTAACTCAAATGAGAGATATGTATGTATAATATATGATTTATATAATCAAAGTAACAGCGGACTTGGCTCACGGCCGCCTTAAGCCAGGTCCGTTACGCCGCCCCTTTTGATCAACAAAATTCTATACATTTTGATTTAAAATATAATTTTTATATTCTGTTGTAATATGTTGCGAAAGTACTAAAATGTTGCGTAAAAATTCAACAATCATTGTTTGACGAAACCGTGAAAACATTAAATTCATACATGGATTCTTATTAAGTGACTCTGTAGGCCATAGCCTTACATACGTAGTTTCATTACTACATATATTTCGCTTTGTGTCAGAGATATTTACTTTTAAATCTACCTACTTAACTCAAATGAGAGATATGTATGTATAATATATGATTTATATAACCAAAGTAAAAGCGGAATTGGCTCACGGTCGCCTTAAGCCAGGTCCGATACGCCGCCCTTTTTGAGCAACAAAATTCTATACATTTTGATTTAAAATATAATTTTTATTATTTTGAAATATATTAATTATTGTTTAAAAATTACAAATAAATATTTATTAAACTCTTACAAAAAAATAATAGTAAGCATTTTTCTTGTTCGTGCAGAAATATCAACTATGTCATCGTAATCCATTTCTTCAATTAGTTGAGCTTCAATAGACAGCAATGCCAAAGAATTTAGACTATCTTGACTCGTATATTTTCTCAAACCCTTTGTTAAGGGGGGAAAAAAAACTTTCTCCTGAACAACTCAGAGCGGGAATACTCAAAAATATACGTAGAGCAATGTCTGCATTCTGATAAACATCTCGAAGATTTTACGTATGCAATACTTTGCTTATGAATTTTTGAGTTGAAATTGTAAAAGAATACATTAATTCCCTAATGTCTCTTCTAAATCATGAGAATACTTTTCGAGCCGACAACTTTAAATAATTTATTCCTTATTAAATTGTAAACAGTATGTTCAAAGAAAAAATTATTAACAATTGCATCAAAATACTTACGGCAGATGAACCTGATTCACAACTTATCATGACTGCTAAATTTTGTTGAGTTTGTCATAAAATTAGGTATTTATGGGATGTGTTGCAGCAAAATTTTTTTTTTTTGAAGATTCTTCTGCTTTCCACTTACGATAATCTGCACCGATAAGTTTTTTTCGATAGTAACTCACAGTTAATAGAAAATACTAAATTCAGAGCCTCAACAAATTAAAAAAAATGCCTTTTTCACTTCTTAGTTTGAAGTGCAGTCTCTTCTTTATTTTCTGAATATATATTTATTATTTTGTCACATGTGGTGTTCTTACTTTCTTTAAAGATGTGTTTGAGCAAATTTGTTATTCAAATGACCGATAGTTGATGCTTTGAGCTACATAGCTTTAGAGGCATTTCGTGTATTTTTTTTTATGGTGCCTCTCAAACTGTTAGTTCTTTTGTCACATGCCATTTAGTTTCAGTGCTACTAAAAAAAAAGTTAAAGGTGAATTTTTAATTTTTTTGAAAAGTACTTATTTGTTCATCAATATCTATTTTGTCCCTTCAAAGTAATCCCATCATCATCAGCTCTTTCTTCAATTCTGACTTGATCTTATTAATTGTGGCAAAACTCCTTCCTTTCGTTGGTTCGTTCAGTTTTGGGAATAGGAAAAAGTCACAAGGAGCCTGATCTGATGAATACGGTGGTTGAGACATGATTGCGGTTTTGTTTTTGGCCAAAAAATCACGAATAAAGAATATGAAGTTTGGTCCAAGGTCTGGAAAACTTATACAATTATATTGACCACCATAAAACATGTTCGTTTTTGGCAGTTGGAAAGGTTTAGCGCTTTAGGAAACTGTTTGCATTAACTTTTGGCATTGTTCAGGTATACTCAAGGACATGTTGTTTTCAGTACTGTATCGAAAGTTTCTTTGCCGAAATATCTGGAAATATATTAGTTTTCTTTTGTTCAATTTTTTTTTTCCCTGCCTCATTAGTATATCTCTGCTACTCTACACTAAAAAAATTATTTGAAAAAAAATAATAATGCATCTGAGAAATCCTTAAAATTGTACACTTACAAAATTGGAAGAGTCGGGAAAATTTTCAAAATTAAATTCAAAATTATTGTAAAAAAACAAAGTAAGGAAGTATTAAGTTCGGAGGTAACCAAACATTTTATACTCTCGCAAGAAAAGCCGGGGAAATACCTTCAGGCGTTGGCAAAACTTTATTTTAAGGAATGTTGCGAAAGAATTCAAAATTCAATTTTATTCGACGAAAGTGTTAAGGATTACAATCATGTCTGATATTTTAAAAAATTCTTATTCTTATATAGGATATTGGTACTAAACTCAACTTACTCAAGTCACTGTGACCGACATTTGCGGCACAAAGTCTACTAAAGTATCGAAGATCATTAAATGTGGTATATGGTAGTATTATTCATTGGTCAATTTTATTAAATTGTAATGTATCCAATGTTATAAGTTAGATTCATTTTATATATACAGGCAAACGGGAATCTTTATATATGAGGTCTAGGGGTAGTACTGATCCGATTTTAGTTCTTCTTGACATTACAATATATTATTACCAGAATAACATATTCTATATATCGGTTAACAGAGATATGGGATTTAACCTAAAGGTGAGAATAATTTGTTGCTACATCTTAAAGCGGAGAAACGAAATAATAGAAACCATTAGGATTATTGGAACACTACTCTAATAGATACAAGGCAATGGAGAGTGTATCAAATCACTAAAAACGATGCCAAACCACTGAAAATGTCAATATCACGTGAGTTCAAGTCTTGCAATTTTCCAATTTTTTTTCAAATCCATCGAGTTATCGAATATAATATTAGTCCACAATAACGGTTTTCCAATAGTGATGATATGATTTCTAAGTGTCGTTTCGGCATGATCTGTAATTTCTTTCCATTATATTCAGCAATATTTACAATTTCATCATGGAAAGATATACTCAAGAACAACGTTTAGAAATTATTCAATTTTATTATCAAAATAATCCTTCCCCAATTGCAACTTTTTCTGATTCTTTTAAGAGAATTATCTTCTCCGATGAGACTCACTCTCATCTGAGTGGTGCGGGAAATAAACAAACTGTCGAATCTAGTGCGAAGAAAATCCATGAATTATTCATGAACATTGGAGGAAGTTGATTTTGACAACATCTGGTTCCAACAAGACGAGGCTACGTGCCGCACGGCATATGCAACAACCGAATTATTGCGAGAAAAAAAAGGGGATACGATAATTTCTAAAAATTGTGACATTGAATAGCCTCCAAGAAGCTTTGATTTAACACTTATTACATTAGATTACTTCTTTTTGGATTATTTGAAATCATTGGTCTTTAGCAATAAACCTGATTCTTTTCAAGCTCTAGAAGTCAATATTGAACGTGCTATTCATGACATACGGCTTGTTTTAGTGGAAAAAGTACTTGAAAATTGGGTTCGTCGAATTTGTTCCTGAAAAAGTAGTCGTGGAGTCCATTGGAATGATGTTATATTCAGAACTTCATTGCATCGTTTGTGCTTCATATTAAATAAAAAACATTTGAATTTCCATAATAATTAGTGTGTTTTTTCTTTTAATCATATCACCCTTATTGGAAAATCTGACTTGCTGAGTGCAAGTTGTTTAACGCGCAACACATAAATATAAGAATTCCGAACTTTCGGTTCGCTTTATACGATATATTATACTTACGAAACTTAGGGGAGCGTATAACACCGGGTATACCAAAGTTTAATGCCGAAAATATGTGAAATCGGTCCAGCTCCCATAGTAGTAATACATATAACGGTATTCTAGCAGACTTTATGTCGAAAATGTCGGTCAGTGTAAAAGTTATTTTCACAAAATTGGGTAAGAACAACTCCATAAATTGATGCGATCAGTTCAGACCTTCGTCTATTTGCAATACGTCCAAAATAGAGATTTTGACTTTTTAGCTGACATTAAACAGCTTTTGTTGATCAAGTGAGATATTTTTTGAGGTTAAGTGAATATGTTTTCATATACCACATATCGCAAACATGATGCAAAATAGAGTAAAGAAACTAGGTTATTTTATGACCTGTAATTTAAATCAGGTTGATACCAAATATGATTGCATTATTCGGTTTCCTCGAACAATGAATATTAAATTCTTGCGTAACATGTTTTAATATAAAGTTTTGCCAACACCTCAAAATATTACCCGGCTTTGATCATTACAAATTGATAGAGTGTAAAACGTTCGGTTCACCGAAATAAGCCCTTCCTATTTTGCGAGTAAAAATATAATATAAAAATTTTTAAAAACCGAAGTATCATACACATCTATTAAGTTTTAATTTGAATTACTTACCAGAAAACAAAAGCAGGATTTTCTGTTGCCTTCTTAAGTTTACATTCTAATCGAAGAGAGGATCCTTCATCAATATGCAAATCCGGTGCTCCGACGATTTCTGCAACAGCTTCTAAAATGTAAAAAAAAATCGTAATGTATAAATAGACAGTACTTAACAAGCAAATAACATACTTATGTACTTGTCTTTACATTGGAAAAGACTAGTTGCTAAGTGTATAGTACTACCATTTTATGAACTCAATGACTACTGACATATCTCTTATCATCTTAAATGGGTATTAAATAACCGCTAGAACAACAATCACAAAAAGTAATATACTTGTGTGATTCAAAAAGCATTGTAACTACACTACCATACATAAACAACACATAAATTTAGTTTAGTTTTTATTAAAATAAATAAGAACACAAGAACGGGTTACGTCACTGTCTTGAAACAGCTGGAACTAGAGATTCACCAAACAGTTCATTAACGCCCTTAAAAGAGACACGCCCCCAATGTATAACAGAAAGCTTTTCAAACTTTATTGTTGGTATAATGTATTGGGATTTTTCAAACCTTGCTTGGTTTATGGTAGAAATACATCATAATTTTAGTTTTGTCACAAAATTTTGTATAACATGGTCCGAATACTCTGCTAGTCTGCCTCTGGAGTGCTATAATTCTAAGCGATTTCCTATTTTCTTGCTGTTAATTACTTATACCTATATTATATGTAAATTGTTTTAAGTTGAATCGAAAACATTTAAGATAAGGTTTTAGGACACGACCTTTTGAGGTAGTTAAAATCAACCAACTGAATTTTATTTTCCTCAATTCGTTTCCCAGGAATTAAAGAATCGGCAAGGTATCGATGATATGCTCTGAACAGAATAGATACAATTTGTCCACTCATGAGAAAAACACACAAATTATATATAAAATTCATATCGCCTAAAAACGGTCCGCTAGGATTGTTCATAATTGTGACTTTTTTCGTGTTTTCGCCTTCTTTCTTGTACCACGGATTACAGATTAATAAAATATTTTTCGTTTGCATTTCAGATTATACTTACGGATGCTAGGACCTCCACTATGAGGACGGTCGCCGTCGCCCTACCTCCATTTTGGTACCCCTTCCCCCTTTACATGGATCACCAAAACAATATGTAAAGCTTCAATAAACTCAACAAGTGTGTTTAAATTTCATTTTTTATCTATTACGCTTACCGAGAAAACAGAACAGACGGTTTTTGGAGATATTAAAATAGAAGCCCCTTTAATGCATAAAATTTGTGAAATTGGTCAACGAATTAGCCCGACCCATTTTCCATGTTCTACATACAAATAATGATTTTCGTTATTCTAACAAACCATATACCGATTACCTGGGTCTGTGTATGAGTAATATACATATATACAAGGTGCGTTCCAAAGTAAACAGTAAAAAAGTAACAAAATAAACTCTAGTGGCGCCATCTATATGTCGACTAGTGCGTTAGAATCTGCTATACATTATCGACTCCCAGTAAAAATTTCATGACATTTCCTTTATTGGGAGTGAAGTTATTGCTTTTTAAGTGTCAGTATGTTTTTGTCATCGGTGCGAAAATGAGCTTCGAACAAAGAGCTAACATTAAATTTTGTTTTAAAATTGGTAAAACTTTTAGCGAAACGTTTCAATTGATGAGACAATTTTATGGTGATGATTGCCTATCTCGTAGCAGAGTGCTCGAGTGGTTTCAACGTTTTCAAAGTGGTCGCGAGGACGTAAATGAGAAATGAGCCGAAACCCAAAAAATCGCGCCTGGAGAAGTCAAAGGGAAGGACAATGCTGATTTGTTTTTATGATTCCAAGGGTATTGTCCAAAAAGAATTTGTTCCACTCGGCCAAAACGTTAATGCGGTATTCTACCTTGGAGTTTTCAAGCGTTTGGTGCTCCGTATTCGACGTGTTCGGCCCGAATATCGCGAAGATGGAAGTTGGCGTTTGTTGCACGATAATGCGCCGTCTAATCGATCGACGCTTGTAGCTGATTATTTGACCGAAAATCACGTTTTAACAATCAACCACTTCCCGTATTCACCTGATATGGCACCGTCCGACTTCTACCTTTTCGGAAAAATGCATTTGCCGATGAAAGGAAAGCGTTATGCAGACGCGGAGGCCATTCAAAAGGCTTGCACCGGCATACTGGCGGCCATACCGGGCAACGAGCTAAAACACTCGTTGGACATGCTCTTGGACCGTGCAGAAAGCTGTATTAAAGCAGAAGGAGACTACTTTGAATAGAATTAATTGATTTTGCCGATAAAACCATTTGTTCTGTCTTTTTTTTAAAAAGTCCTGTTTACTTCGGAACACACCTTGTATGATTGATTGAAAATATACTCTCAAGAATACCCGAGCAACATCAAAATTAGTGCAATCAGCTCAGACTATTTTCTGGGAGTAAGGAGTTGGTGTATACCTTGGTCTAAACCTCATATTCCTTATATTATGAGTTTTGATCCTTTGGTTAGCGTTTAACACATTAATTCATTATATTTAATTTAGCCTCTTCTGTTGCGTTTATATCACACATATTTTATTTGAAGAGGATGAAACTAAGCGTTTTGCCAGTACCCGAAGATATTCCTCCAGATTTTAATTTTGTAAGTTACGAGAGCATATTCTATTCCTATGCCATTCCTTACTTGTTTTGTTTTACAACATTTGGTTATATTTGCAAAAAAAAAAGTTTACAAATGGTCACAAAATACCGTGGTCAAATGATTGATGTTAACTTCGATCAATATCAATCACTTCAGGTGTAGGCAAAATCTTATATTAAAGGAAGTATTGATCCGATTCAACACATTTTTTAAATAAAAACATATTATTATCGAGTATGAATTTTTGTTATTCATTTATTTATTTTATTATCTGAATTTCAAATAAATATCTTACACATTGACCGATATTTTCGGAAAAAACTCAACTATAGGCACTGGGGTCCACATATTCCGTACCTAGGGGCTTGAACAGGTTTCGTTAAATTTAGAAAATTTTTGGTCACAAGGTGACATACTTTAAACGCATTAGTTACGCAATGTTTAACCCCGCTACAATCATTGTTGCTTGATGTGCATAGTGGAAAGTGAAAGAATCAAATGGAATTTAAAATGGCGTTATATGGGAAATAGGCGTGATTGTAATCCGATTGCGACCATTTTCGCACTATAACATAGAAATATGAGAAGAATATTTTATACCGAATTTGATTGAAATCGGTTAAACAGCTCCTAAGGTATGAGTTTTCGCCTAAAAGTGGGCTGCGCCACGCCCACTTTATAATTTTAACGCCCACTTTATTTTATAACGCGGTTCCTATAAAGGCATATTATACCATCCCAGAGATAAAATAAAATTATCGCGCTTTTAGTAGTTTCTAACAGTACCGTTATATGGGGAGTGGGCGGGGTTGTAACCCGATTTCATCCACTTTCACATTGTCGATATTGCTAAAAACATTTTTCCCAGTGAACTTTTTTATTATTGCTTTAGCGGCTTACGAGATATTTGCATTAAACCTATTAGGGAGCAGTACCACGCCCACTTTTTAAAAAAAATTTTAAACTGCAAATGTGCCTCTGTGATCTTGTATACTAAATAACAGTATTGTATCTTATTGTGGAGCTTAGTTATGGCAATTTATTTGTTTTTATTAATGGCGTTTTTTGGGCGTGGCAGTGGATTACGCTCGTCTGCAATACCAACCGTCTTACGGTACCAAGAAACATGTGTACCAAGTTTCATAAAGATATCTGAATTTTACTTAAGTTATAGCTAGCACAGACGGACGGACGGAGGGAAGGACGTTCAGTCACCCGAATTTCAACTCGTCCCTTCGTCCTTCCTGATGATTTATATATATATAATGCTATATCTAACTCGATTAGGAGGGGTCGGACTACACCTCCGCCTACTTTCCATATAACACATCTTTTAATTTCATCAGACATATCCGGAGTTTTTTTACCATATCCGGAGTTGAGTTAGGCTTCCCAAACTTCTAAAAGCTATCTGTTTTTGAATTTTTGTGGTTTCAATAAACTTTTAATGGTTTCCGGTCCCAGGAAGCATCCAAATTAGAGATGACCGATTTAAGTGAATCATATTACCAAGCACTATTATTACGATATCTGTCTCATTGCCTCTAATAACAATATTGGACCAGTCTGGAATACTGAAAACAAAGCAAATTACTATAAAACGGGATTCATTTCGATGTTCCTCGTTAAAAAAAAAAACTAAATTTACCGTCCCAAAACGAAACAAATCAGCTCACCGAAGTGTTCTCTCAATAAATCCATTGATGTGTGGGAAATGGCGCCGACTTGTTGAAGTCGCCATTGACGGTTACGTTCTCACCAGAATCATTTTTGAAGATATATAGACCGATGATTATACTGGTCCACAAACCACACCAAACCATTGTTGACCATTGAGCCAGAAATGGTTCTCATCGCTAAACAAAATATGGCTCGAAAACGTCGGATCTTCTTAGAACTTTTCAAGAGCCCATAGAACACAACGATGGGAAGGTCGAGCGGCTTCATTTCCTCCACAAACTGTATTTTGTACGCTTTCAATTTAAGATCTCGACGTAAAATGCGCCAAGTCGTTTCATACGTCAGTCCGAATCACTGCGAACGGCGCTTAATTGACTCTCCACGGTCTTCGTGTACACTCTCAACCACGGCCGCTATATTTTCTTCACTGCGTGCTGGACGTGGTCTATTCGGTCAAATATTATCCAATAAGGAATGCTGGGTCTCAATATTGGTGTTGCGAATAGTACGCTAAGTAGGCCGATTAATTTAATCATATGTTGATTCTTTGCAGAACGTTAATGTTCGTAATAAGGTTAAACGATTTGTAAATGTTGTTCAGGCGTAAGTTCATGATGAAATGCGAAACAATACTGAAAAAAAGCAATATAACAGCATGAAACGGCTCACGCGGGATTTGCCAAAAAAAGGCTATTGGAAAGAGTAAATCTACCAGCCTTCTCTTTGTGCAAAGGACAGCAAAAATCATCTCTATCTCACGATTTATTAATTTATCGTTTGTAAGAATAACAGTCACGAAAGTTCAGATGTATTAATTTAGTGCCAAGGAACAGAATTACTTCGCATCTAGTCCAATGTATTATAAAAAATGTATTAAAGCTTTCTTAAATCGGATATTTTTCAACTCTTTGGGGAAATCTGTTGGTCTCACTTGTTTAGGTCCCGAAATTATATACGGCATTTGAACAGCTTCATGCCGTAAAGATCGTTCGTTATTATATTCTCACAACCTGTTGCTACAGAGTATAATAGTTTTGTTCACCTAACGGTTGTTTGTAACACCTAAAAGTAATCGAGTTAGATATAGGGTTATATAATATATATATATATGATCAGGATGAAGAGACGAGTTGAAATCCGGGTGACTGTCTGTCCTTCAGTCCGTACAGGCAAGCTATAACTTGAGTAAAAATTGAGATATGTTCATGAAACTTGGTACACATGTTTCCTGGTACCGTAAGACGGTTGGTATTGCAGATGGGTAATCGGATCACTGCCACGCCCACTAAAACAAATAAATTGCCATAACTAAGCTCCACAACAAGACACTAGACTGTTATTTCGTATACAGGATCACATTAGGGAGGGGCATCTGCACATAAAATAAAAGTATAAATAAGTAAGATACCTTAGCAAAATTTACTGGAAGTATAATATTGGGTATACTATAGTTTAATGCCGAAAATATGTCAAAGTGTTTCACAAATTACCCAAACTATATTATGCTACATATCTTTATTTTCTTTGTTCTAACAAACCATATGGATCTGAAGTTATTTCCCTGGCTTTGATTATTGCAAATTGCGAGAGTATAAAATGTTCGGTTACACCCGAACTTAGAACTTCCTTACTTTTTTTTTATTGATATTGATCGAAGTTAACATCAATCATTTGACCAGGATATTTTGTGACCATTTGTAAAATTTTTGTTTGCAAATATTACCAATGTTTTTGGCACATCTTTCATTGTTTGTAAAACAAAACAAGTAAAGAAAGACTAATTTCGGAAAGTGTTGCAAACACCTAAAAATATTTCCCCGTCTTTTATGCTCTTAAATTGTCAAAGTATAATATTAATTGTCTTGTCTTTATTTATGTTAGAAAAATGCTACAAATTCAGACGTTTGCTAATATCGTTTTAATTTTCTAAGCGGATATGACACTTATTCCTTGAAAAGGAAGGAAAAGGAAGTGAACTAAGAAACACGTACACATACGAGAACATACTAGATATATAAATTTTTTTTAATAATAGAATGCATACATACTTGTAGATCTATAAAAACTTACCAACAACTTTCAGTTCTACAAAAATTGATTCTGTAGGGTATATTGATAACTGACATTCATATAACCCCCGATCGCTGTCACGTACAGACTTTATTCTTAATGACCAGTGCCCCATATGACGCGTGTGCTCGACAAGAAATCTTTTATCACTACTATGGGTTGATAATCCAACTGTTAGTAATTGAAAGTCCTTACGACGAATCCATGAAACCTTAAAATATATTTATAAAGGTATAAGAAAAATATAGTAGTATCGTTGTAATCTGTATTTAAGCGTAAAAGTCTTTTAAATAAAAATACTACGCCTTTGATATACATGTGTATGTGTTTTTTTTGACAAAATTCTTCTCTCATAAAGAGTGCATCTTGATATTATCCCTATCCGGAAAAGTTGATGGCTTTTTCTGTGAACTTTTTGTATCTCAAAAGTAAAAACCTAGATTTGGCATTTCACATACATATGTATGTATGTATTTTATTTCATAAAATTTATTTATAAAGTGTTCATGCGACTTCTGATCCCGCGACATTTTGGAACTCAGCACACAACCCACTGTACAACCACAGAACTAAGAAGAACGAGAAGGTGCAGGTTCGATAGCGAACATTTGTAAAATTTTATCAAAGAGTTCACCTCACACGCAGAAGAAACAAATAACATTTCTCGCTTTTATAACAGCGGTAAATTTGTACACATACGCTCTCTTAACATAACCAAACGGCGAATATTGAAGAGAACTATGTATGCCAAACACGGAACATTGATATGACACTTGAAATATATTCCCTTTTATTGAACTATTATTAATTATTTTTTTTAAATTATTTTATGTTAATTAATTTTTACTTTGTTATGAGTTATTAGTAATCAGTTAAAAGTATTTTGATACAATAAATTTCTTACAATAATTCATGTACTTAACATCATTATGGAGTCACAAAAGTACAGAATTGTGTTTTGCCATCGGCATTTTCATATCATGTGTAAAAATATTTGTAAATTTGTCTACAAACAACATATGTATGTAGATATGAACACTCATTACTTCATGTGAAATCTCCGTTTACACGGCCAACCAATGATCGAAATCTCACGTTTTTTGCTTTTATGTCAAAGAGTCAATCTGTCTGAAGGACTGAGGCGACGACAAAGCGTCACAACATTGTGTTGTTGGTAGAAAATCCGAGATGTGCCGAAAAATAAACGAACGTTCGCCGATTGTCACCGCTTCCCTTGCCGCTCTAACAGCTTTGCCCACAAATCATTGTAAATATGTATGTTTATATATGAACATGCATACATATTGACGCAGATTTTTGCGAGTTACGGAAAAATATTTTAAAATTGTAAAATATTTAAAATCGACAAAAGCTTTGTTGCCACTTTTGTCATTGATTTCTGTGTTTTGTGGGCTTGCAAATTAACTTCCTTCTTTAAGGAAGTGTTAAAAAAATATTGTTTTCGGCAAACTAGCCAGTCTTAAGAATACAAATAAAGAGTACACATTTCACTGCAGCTCAAAGGTATTTTTAATAACTCATATCGTGTAAACGATATTAACTGGGGGCTCAACCGGGATAGCAAATTTTTACTTGCTATCAAAAAAGCCAGGAGACATCCTTGAAAAGACAGGAACTCCGCGATCCTAAAGAAGGATAAAATTAAAATACCACGGGAAGTAGGACTTCCAGCACTAGATTTTTGAAAAAAGTGCTTAAAAATTCAACAAAAAATTCCTGAAAAATTGGAATAACATCGTACTGGAATCGCGAAGCAAACGACAAGCATTCAATTCATCACGTGTATCGTTGGACATAAACTCCGATATGACAACACAGCAGATCGCAAGCCTGAGAGCACAAATCGCTGCTCTAACCACAACGCTCACCGAAACCCAACAAAGAGTGAATTCCTTCGCAACTCACCCATCACCTAACGTCACAGTCACCAACCAATACCAGGACTGTACACCAAACATTACCGACGCATCACAAATCAACCTAGAAGTGTTCAAAACGTTACCAATATTTACAGGTGACGCGAACCACTATAGGTCATGGAGAAAACGTGCCTGGACACACATGGAGAACATCAAGGATTACGTTACTACACCCACATATTACACGGCACTCTCAATTGTACATTCAAAAATTCAAGGAGAAGCGGCCGATATTTTAATAAACCACGACACAAAATTCAATTTTTATTCAATAATAAACCATCTTGATTACACCTATGCGGACCAGAGACCTCTGTATGTGTTGCTCGACGGAATGAAGAGATTAAAACAGGGAAAAAGGACCCTGGCAGAGTTCCATAGCGAAGTCAGCAAGTCACTTAATCTTGCACTCACTAAGGTTGAGATGGACAGCTCAGGAAATCCCTCAGCTATGAAAGAATATGCGAACCAGGAAGCTGTACGGACATTCATTCTCGGTCTGAACAGCAAATATACCAGTGGCACCCTCTATAGCCACAATCCAAAGGACCTAGAAACCGCTTACGCTATCGCAAGTACGATATATCATGACAATATGAACTCACAATTCGACGTTCGACAATACAATCAGCACAGACAACATAATACATCACAGTATCAATACACAAGCAGAAGATATCACGGGGAACCACAAAGGTACAAACCTAACGTGCAGGTGCAATACAATCAAACTGGACCCCGCCAACAACACCAACCAATGGATGTAGATTCATCACAGCAGTACATGAGATCCACAAATTACAACAGGAATCATCCCCTACCACAACAAAACAGCTACGACCGCCAAACACAAGGACTGCCTCCAAATAACCCATTTCGCGGGGATCCACAGAAAAGGGAAAGAAATTCTTCTTCTCTAAACGTACCACAGAAGGTGCAACGTGTCAACCAAACACGCGACGAAGAATTAACATCGCTTGTACCAGAATAAGAAAATGAGGAATACGAAACAGGCAGTGTTTTTTTAGGCGCATGAAAGATTTGCCGTGTCTGCAACGCCACTGCAGGGATACAGGCAAACTTATCAACATCCTAATCGATACCGGAGCAACGAACAATTATATTAGCACAAAGTGCAATATAGGTAAGCCAATTAAAATGAAGCCAGTAAAAGTGAAAACCCTTCATGGTTACTCTATAACCAAATAAAAAAAATTATTACATTATTAGAGCATAATCTTACATTTTTTGAAACAGATGCATTAGAAGAATTTGATATGCTTCTGGGTGAACAGGGACTTAAAGCAGAGATCAACCTTTTCGAGTACAAGCTCAGTTATAAATATAGGGCCAAGAAAGAAAGTAAATCTTTGCAAAAAATTAATTATACGGTTAATAGTGAAAATTATAGGGCAGAAGTCGAAGAAATTATGCAAAAAAATGAAATCACAAACGAAGTGCTACCTTATACTACCGCGATACAAGCTACCATTAGGACGAACTCCGAAGATCCTATTTGGACCAAGCAATATCCGTACCCTATGTCAGATAGCGATTTCATTAACGAAGAAATTAACAAACCTTTAGAAAATGAAATAATTCAACCCAGCAAAAGTCCGTACAACTCTCCCATTTGGACAGTCGCTAAAAAAGGTACCGATGAACAAGGGAAACCTAAGCGCAGAATGTTTGTAGACTTTCAAAAGCTAAACGCTCAAACTATTACAGATAGATACCCCATACCTGATGTGGCTATGACCATACAGAATTTAGGTAATGCAAAAGTATTTACAACTTTAGATTTAGAGTCTGGCTTCCATCAGATCCTTATTAAAGAATCTGACAGGGAAAAAACCGCCTTTAGTGTAAATGGAGCTAAATATGAATTCCTTCGTATGCCGTTCGGCCTGAAAAATGCTCCATCAATTTTTCAAAGATGTGTAGATGATATTTTGAGACCATATATCGGCAAGTTCGCATACGTTTATATAGACGACGTTCTCATTTATTCTTCCTCTCCCGAAGAACATATCGAGCACATCCGCATAATAATAAACGCGCTTCACCAGGCCAACATGAAGATCTCCAACGAGAAATCTCACTTTTTCCAGGACTCTGTAGAATATTTAGGTCATATAATTAAATATAACAGGATTACAGTTGATCCTTCAAAAATACAAACCATTAAAGATTTTCCTATTCCCATAACGCTTAAGGAACTCAGATCCTTTCTAGGCCTTGCGAGTTATTATCGAAAATTCATACAGAATTTCGCAGCCATAGTCAAGCCACTTACCACGTTCCTCAGAGGAGAGAACGGTGGCATATCCAAGAATCAAAGTGCAAAAATAAAAATCAGCTTAGACGAACGTGCACTAGAAGCATTAAACAAAATAAAAGAAGAATTACAAGCCCAGGTTGAACTCTTCCAACCAAATTTTACCAAACCCTTCGAATTAACCACAGATGCTAGCAATTACGCTATAGGAGCCGTATTATCTCAAAATCAAAAACCCATATCATTTATTTCACGAACGCTCAACGAAACAGAACAGAATTACTCCACGAATGAGAAAGAGTTACTCGCAATTGTGTGGTCACTACAGAAACTACGTAATTACTTGTATGGTATAGCAGATTTAACAATTTACACTGACCATCAATCATTAATCTTTTCCATATCAGAAAAAAACCCCCATACAAAATTAAAAAGATGGAAAAATTTCATTGAAGAATATGGTGCAAAACTCGTTTACAAACCCGGACATCAGAACGTTGTCGCTGATGCACTTTCTCGCCAGCAAATAAACAACACTGTAAATTCTGATGACTCCCAACATTCAGCACAAAGCTCCCCAGCACAAAAACTCAAACGAGTAAAGAAGCCAATAAACTCCTTTAGAAATCAAATTATTGTGAATCAGTCAGATCAAAACTCCGCCGAAATATCGTCACAAAACATATTTTCGAACAGCCGACACACGCTTTTTTTTAACACAAAAACTGAATTACTAGACAGACTAAAAACTATAATTAGACCAAAGGTCACTAACGCACTTTTTATAGACGAACAAATATTATTTTACGTAGAAAACGAGATTATCAACACATTTCCGACTGTATCAATTGTACTAGCGCAAAAATTGGTAGACGACATCACCGAAACCGAACAACAACAACGAATCATACAAGACACACACAGACGTGCTCACAGAAACTACAAAAATAACGCACAGGAAATTTCGCTCAGATACTACTGGCCAAACATACGTGACGCTTGTAAAAAAGAAGTACAGGACTGCGAAATTTGTCTCACAAATAAGTATGAACGCCGACCAAATAAACAACCAATAGGTTCAGCACCAATACCGAACAAAG